GGAGTGAAAGAATATAACTGCTTTCAAATGGATAGTAGCATGTATGAATATATGAAGTTGAAAGACGCGGAAGGCTTTCTGAAAAACTGCATGGATGATTTTTGCTGCGAGCTTTCTTATAAAGCAAACTCGATGGAAGAAAATTATTATTTAGGAGTATATTCTGGAGATTTTACTGGTATGCAAACATTCTCGTTAGGAACAGAAGCTTGTATCCTAGCCCGTTGCGATTCTACAAATGATGTGGCGTGTTCGAACTTCAAAACCAAATCATCAACAGTTTTCCAATATGTCAATATTCAAGGCAGTTTTACAAGCAAACATGTTTATCCGACTGCAGTTGATAGTAATACACGATTAACTGATAAAAAACAGTGGTATTTCAATGGAAAGTCTCAAATTATCTACAGTAACTTAAATCAAAATAGTTCATTAATTTTCTTAGGTTTGTATGGAAGACATTACAATAGAGATAAGATACCGATTATGAACTATTAACAGGGATGTAGGTAAGGGAGGGGTTTAAACACCCCCATAGTAATTAACTCAATTATATATTATGTATGTAAAGGCTCAACCTGGATTAGATTTGAAGTGCCAATATATTTCATAAATTAGTTCTTTATAGGATTTTTTAATTGTTACTTGTTATATTTATTACAAAATAATTGCTATAAAAAAAAGATACTGAAAAAAAAAAGATACTGAAAAAAAAAAAGATACTGAAATGAAAGATACTGAGATTACAAAAGTAATAACACTAAACATATAACTGTCGAAGAAAATGAAAAAACTGTTTTTAACCAACAAAGTAATAAACATACAATAATTAAGTAAAGTTGCAGTCTGACAACTGAAAATCTGCTCTGATTTAAATACTTCTGAGTAATATAAAATATTTGAGTTACTTAGAAAATTAAAAACAAAGTTAATAAATGCATAAAATGAAATAAGTTAACTCAAAGTCACTATTATTTTCATTGAAAATGGGTTGCAAAGAAATTTTACTTAGTTTTAAGTTTTTTTTTTGTTATATAATTGTAGCTATACATTTTAAGTTTTTATACTTGAGATTAAACATCGGCAATCACTCAAAAGGTTTTGATTTGAAGAAATATATTTAATTATAGTAAGAAAATTTTTTATTAGTCACAAATAGTTATTTTTTTATTTCTAATAAAGCAGTCACTTTAAGAGAAATAGTACAAAAGTTATTTTTTGAAAAATCCAATATTTCAAAAAAATTATTTATCAATATTATATTTTTTGGAAATTATGTATTTGAAATAAATTAAATCTGTAAGTAAAAAAGGGCTCTATGCAATCTGAGACCCACAATATATTATATTCATCTTTAAAAGTTGCATAAAACTTTCAAAATACTACATGTACTTTATTCTTTCTTTAAAACAATAATTTAGTTTTCGATATTTGTTTTTATACCACCTACTATTGAAATTATGTAATAACTAATTATAAAATTAAAAAGTATTTTTCTTTCAAATTTTCAGTTAAAGTGTTATCAGCAATTAGACATAATTTTTTTTAAAATTCTCTTTTATACTTATTTTAAAAGTTACTCATTTCTTATTAGTCACATATTTATGAAATCAATAAGTCTTACCTTACTGTAAAGCAATTGAATGAGTTAGAGAGATGGGAGATAAATAGAGCAATTGTTTTTATCTCAAATTCCAATCATACTTTAGTTTTTTTGCATATAAGTAGAAATATTAATCAAATTTTATTGTCCTTTAAAAATCATTCCACACGTCATTTTGCAAAACTTTGTTAGAACATTTTTATTGAATCGAAAATATTAATTAAAATGAAAGAAATTGTAACTCAGACCTAAACTATTTGAGGATTCAACAAAAAATACTCTCTGAATATAGTATCGTTAGAAATGTATTGATTTTGAAAATATCCGAAATTGGCACAAAATAAGCGTGAATTTGATTTTTTTTTTTTGGGGGGGGGGGACAAGAATAATGCCTAATGCTTATTTGCTGTCAAAATATTTATAATAATAAAATTTTTTGTAGCGAAATTATTAGCAAGGCAACCAAGGGATGATTAGAACATGCACTTCCTTCCATTTTCTGTTCAGTTTAACACAAAAAACTAATAAAAACCTTTTTAACTTATTAAAATTCACATTGAAAACTAAAGTTATTTTAAATTGCGAGTTTTACGTTATTGCATTGAATAGAAAATCGACACCAACGTTCATTTCACTTATCCTCTCGATTCCTTAATTGAATTTTCCCAGTTCTGTATTGCATAGCATTATGTTTGAGGATTTTTTAATTTCAAAAACTCTAAAGTTAAATAACCCTTCGCCCCATTTTTCTTCTACATATTTTAAATTAAATTGTTAATAAAGAAAGTGAGTCTGTGATACTATTGCTTATATTTACAACACTTTGAATAAATTTTTATTAAAATTCTTCCTTTTGTTATGTTATTGATAGATTTGCTTTCATTCATAACTCTGTGTTATAGGTAGATTAAATTTTTTTTATTTAAAATTGAGTTTTTTTAAAATTATTGTTTTTGAGTACTTTTATGCCCATTTCGTTGATTTTTACCTTTTTTAAAAGTCGGTGGCATAAATTAAAAATATAACATCAGCATAGAAATTAGTTCAATTATAAATACAAAAAAACAAACAAACTAGGTTATGCTGGCAGTTGACCATTGAGAAGCTAAAATAAACTAATTTTGAGAATATTGACAGTCAGAATGTTTTAACAGTGTCTCAATTTCCAACAATTTTTAATTTTTAAAATTAGCATGTTCTTTTAAGAATTTTTGTCATAAAAAAAGAAAGAAAGAAAAAAGATGTTGATATGACAAACTGGTTATCCATGTATATTTTTTTAAGAATAAAAATGTTCAAAAATTAATATACTTTTTGATACAAAATACAAGAAAATCATAAAAAATAATAACTAAGGGGAGAAAGACAAATGAATTTCTATCTACAAATTTCATTGGTAAGAAGAATTAACATACTATACTTCATTTACCTTTATAACTAAAAAAATAACCATGTGGAAATGATTGACAAAACGATTATAAAACGAAGTAGATTTATGATGAAATTAAATCCTCAAAAGGGATAATTGAAATTTAAAATTTGCGTGTCGTAACTAGGACTGGGCTATAGATCGATACGGCGCGACATATCGATTTAACGCCTGTATCGGCAGGCCGATACAGCGACTTTCATTCCAGGCGATGCATCAGAAATCTGATTTAAGCCGTCCAGGGTTCCCACTCTATGATGAGATTGAAATTCAAGGACTTTCCAGGACTTTTCAAGGACCTCAACAAAATTTTCAAGGACCTTAATCTAAGACCAATTTTAAAAATTATTCTCTTCTATTTTACTAGAAGCAACAATGCTTGTTGTGGCAATAATTAATTTCAAATATAATACCTAAATGCTTTGCCTATATAGAGAGAAGAGAGTATATGTATTATGGACTAAAATTTATATTTTTTTAAAAACAACCCTACTGGTTTTACATATTAATTCACAAAATCATTTTCAGCACAATCTATAACTAATGGTAATGAGGTGTTAATGGTGAAATCCTTTAATNTATCGAATATCATAATTCTTTTGTTTTTATTTTTAAGAAATTAAACCTTACTTTGTTTTTTCGTTCAGAATTCGGTAATTATTCAATTTAACTTTATTATTTATGTGAAGTAATAATGATAAAAAATAGTGTTTTTTTTGTTTAATTTATTTAGCACATTGTTTTAAGCATACAAATAATTTTTAACGAACTTGTTTTTTAAATTTTCTTTCTATATTATTAGGTAAATATATTGATAAATTTAAATTTTATTTCTTTTTTTATTATTTATTTTTAAACTAAGAAATCTTTCGTTATTTGCGCGATCATTTTTAGAAAATATAACATTAATATCTTTATCAAGCAAAACATATACATCAAATTCATAAATTGATTTAAATCAATCTGAGTATGAAGTTTTGATAGAAATCTGACTTTCTGCTCCTTACAAGTAAATGAATTTCAAAAATACTATATCGCGATACATCGCGATGCAAAACTGACGACGCATCACGATATAAAATTTCTTATACCGCCCAGTCCTAGTCGTAACATGGTATAAAAAACAGCACAGTTTAAAAAACCAAATGGAAAGGACTGAAAAAAATTAGAATTAACAACTAACATAAAAATTAAAAAACATCTCAAAACGTGAAATTGCATTCTGAAAAGAGATCACTCAAATTCGAGCAGAAATACACAAAATTTCATGTCCTGGCAGTTCCACAGCAGATAAGAAACTGAAAGATTTATAAAATCGTTCCTCGTAAAAATTTATTGTCAGTCTTACATTTCAAGAGGTAGCTGATCACTGGTCTAGTGGATACTGTACTGGAATACGGGGTCCGAAGTTGTGGGTTTTAATCCCACCGTAGACATGGAAGTAATTTTCTCTCTCTCTGTGTTCTATGTCCTTTCTTCTGTGTGATTACAACCCGCCCTTTAAATGGGTTTGTGGTAGTATAACGTGAGCAACACTACTCCAGACCTCATGGCTCGGCCACTGGTGCCTACGGGGTAACAATAAGAGAGCAGTAATTCTGGCATTTTTGAGGCCAATGGGAAATAGACCCAAGTGCCCATCATTAAAAAAAAAACACTTCAAGAGGTATTAATTTGAAAGTCCATTTCTCAATCCTTTTCTATGTCCCACCCACTTGGATGACTTGTTCTTGACTAGAGCAGGTGAGCCATAATTTTGAGAGTTCGATGAAAGGGTAAATGGGAAATCTTTCTTTTCATTGGAAAGGGGAAAAATATGTGATACGCAAAAAAAAAAAAGTGAAATAAGTGACAAAGCCTTAAAAATAGTGACTTTGAGAAAAGCGATCCACACCGAGTCCTGCATTCTAATGTAAAATGTATAGATAATTTAACAACATAGCTTATTTGAAAATAGTAAATTTCAACCTGGTGTTAGTAACCATTTTCCGCACACATCCCCAAGAGCGTAGATTCCCTTTTCAGTTGTATTTTGATCAGCGTCCACTTTAATGTGTCCAGAATCATCAAGATCAATATTCTAAAAGAATCAAAGAGCAATACTTTGCATTCAATATTAAAATCTTAAAAATCTATAAAATGCAAGAAAAAAATTAAATTGACTTCTTGTTTTATCTAGTTTCAAGTCAGTATTTGGAAATATTGAGTGGAAATTATAATGCAAAAACTTTACAGTATGTTCATAAAATATTGGTGGGGCTTTAAATTATTGCACTTTTGAAATAAATATGATAAATTATAAAATTAAAAGAATAACACAATTTGATGTTAAAAGTTTCCTATCTGTTGAGTAGTGTTTGATGTAGATCTCAAAAATAATTTAGTCTATTTCAATACACAACCAAAAATAATTGAATTGACAAAGAAACAAAATAAAAAAAGTAATTCTTTCTTTCAAATAGATAAAATTTTTAACTTGAATAATTAAAATCTGATATTTTGTATCAAAACCAAAATATTGGAAAGTTAAAAAGAAAAGATTAATGTCTTGAGATGTATGAAAATCTAAGAAAGGAATGTTATCTTTAATTTTACTCATTGCTGTGCAGTACCTTGTCCTGAAACTATTACAAAAATTTTGAATTCCATTATTATTTTATGAACACAATATGTAAAAAAAAGAAAACATAACTTACAGTTTTATCAAGATTTAAATCAATATTTGGTTGCCGTCCAATCGCCCACATGACACACTCTACATCAATAGAGTTACCATCGGAGAAGATAACTCTTTTATGATGAGAGGTTTTTTCTACAGACTTTACCTAATTAAAGAAAATGATAATTAAAAGAAAAAGCCTATGCACATAAAATTAAAAAGGATAAACTAAAAAATTATTTTGTTTAAAATACTGTTATTTGCTTTCAAAGCTGTCCACTTCATGGAGCAAACTTCAAACTGAATTAAAGCAAATTAATGCACAGTAGTTTTGAATTGATATGGAACACTAAAACTAAACATACAAAATTAAAAAAAAAATCCATTTATATTTAGTTTGTCTAAAGTAAGAACTCCCCCAGCCATTTGTCTGAACTTGTGGCAGAGACTATGGTAACGAAGTATAGCTATTTCAAGTAGGGGTGTGGGGTCACTGTTTAGGACAGGTTTCGACTCAGGTCGGCGAGAGAAAGAGAATCTTTTTTTCGGTCTATTGTGTTAGCCCTAGAGTTAAGAGAAGCCACCCCCTTTGAAATGCGCTATTCTTGTTTCCATAGCAGAAGTCGGACTCAGATTATGTGGCGGGGGGAGTTATTTCCCCCCGAATCCCAGTAATGGCTTGTCGATACGAATCCAGCTTGCACCAACCACAGTGCGAACGTGAAATATCCCCAGTGGTAGACGAATCATGGTTTAGAGTCCTTTTGTCGTCAGGCTAACCGTGGGTGGTTCTCGCGATCTTCCTTTCCACCTAATACAAATACGGGTTAGTTCCATCAAAAAGTTCTCCATGAAGGCAAATTTGTACCAAGAGTTTCTTTGTCTTCAGGATTGGGTTCAAAATTACAAGGCTACAGAGTTGAACAACAGTAGTGATAAACCCCAAAAAATTGGGTCGGCTGTTCAACGACAGTTATAATATGTATATAGTATCTGGATATTTTAGACTTTTATGAGTGAGTATTTTTGTAACTGAGCTGAATAAAGTCTGTATTAGGTAAGGTTCATTTTCTTCTTTATCTATAGACTCAACATCCCTTTGTGGGTCAGGCCTTCTTTAAAACCTTTTTCCATTTTGCTCTCTTTCTTGGCAGGATATTCCAGTTTTTCAATCTCAGTGCTTTGAAACCCTTATTAACACAATCAACCCACCTTAGTCAGGGTCTACCTTTGATTTGGTAAGGGGATGTTAAGAAAAATTCATATTGCAGTCGATTTAGGAAATGTGTCCAGCAATAAACAATCATTTTAATTCAGAAAAAATGCCATCAATTTTACACAAAGGATATTTTGAGAAGAAAGCTAATTTTTTCATCACTAATTTTTGAAAAAGATTATTTGAGTTATCTTTTAAGTTTAGACATATTTCATCAATTAAACTAAAAAGCTCTTTTTTAATAGATATTTTAAACATTAATTTTATTAATTTGAAAAGTTAATTAAAAAACATTACATGCAATGAATTCTTTGAAGTTAGAATTTTCCCTAGTTCTATAATATTTCTAAGCACAGCTCAAGTATTATTTTGATTATACTGTTCAAGCATATCAGACAGCATTAAAATAAAATTTTTATGAAAACAAATTAAATGAAATATCGCATTTAAAAGAGTAATATTTTCCCGAATTGCACTAAGAAATTCAGCATTTTTTACAGGTTTGAAAGGAGATAAGCTCAAAAACAGAATGTTTCAGTCTTAGGGTGATTAACTATTAATAATAAGTAGGTAAAAAAAACATGTTGAATAACTACTTTACACATTTCTTACTACAGGAGTTTATGTAAAATCAAATCAAAGAAAATGACACCCCTTAAACTTCGCAATAAATAAAGTCAAGTAATGTTAGCATATTTTTTTTCAATGCTAAAACACAAGAAGTGAAGCAAATATGTTAAACAGTTCTTGAGATGTAAGTATAAGGAAAAATCAAGTAGCTTTTTGTTGAGGAGAATTCAAATTTTGCATTGTACAACTTATAACATGTACCTAGCAGTTATTTTAAACATTTTTCGTAGAATGTTTCATAATGAAAACGGATATAATATCTAAAATAAAATTTCAGTTCACATAATTGAAAATATTTATGAATATCTTAACATTTATCAAAATTTAAAAAAAAAAAAAAAAAAAAANTTATGAATATCTTAACATTTATCAAAATTTAAAAAAAAAAAAAAACATTTTTAGTGACACTTTTGCACATGGGTTTAAATAAAGACAGAAATATAATCGTAATAATTCACTTCTTTTGATTTATTTATGAAAAGAATATTAATGTTAATTCTTGTCTAATTATTATGATAGTTAGAAATAATTAAATAGAATTTTTTTAACAATATTTTTTAAATAAACATTTTTAGTCTCTTTTGTTGAGTGATACTTATAAACGTTGGTATAAATAATGGCAGTAATAAAATCATAATTTAAATAGAAAAAAACAGTTTAGGAAAAGATATTTAGATGTTAGTTCTTATCTAATTATTACTGTTAGCAATATTTTAGTTTTGAAATACAGTAAGCTCTCGACTATCTGGCTTAGTAAAAAATAAGAAATGTTGGAACCAGCTGTTTTTCTAACTAGGTAATTGTGGGAGGAGGCATTTTTCGTTATTCTATTTTTCTGTCACAATTACGATATGCTCAAAGCCTATTGTAATTATGAGATAAAATAATACCTTTCTGATATCTGAAAAAATAACAAATTTCATCAATAATTTTAAAATACAAATTAATTTAGATTATGTACTTACCAAGGAATTGGTTAATAGATGGACACCCGATTTTTTTATTTCTTCTGTAAGCACATCACTTATGATATTATCAAAAGTACGAAGTACCTAAAAGTATAAGTGTTATGTCACATTAGAAATAGTATTTCAAAAAAAAAAAAGTCGAAAAAGAAAATAATTTGTATATAAAAAATGAAGACAGATTAAAATATTTCAAAAAATGTTTAATTTATAGGTAAAAACAGTGACAAAGAGGAAAAGGAAAAAAGAAATACATGTCTTGGAATGAGTTTTAACAATGAAACTGAGAGTACATAGAAACATTTATAGCATAAAAAATTATATTTTCTCACTTTAATTATTTTCCTTTAAAAAAAGTCACGCATCACATTTAACACTTATAAATACATCAAAGCACAAATATCATTTCAGTTAAAAAAAACAAACAAACATTAAAAATGTAATGGATGAAATGTGAATGCTTTTCGCCAGAGGAAAATTAAGGTCCAAAATTAAAAAGTTATTTTGCATTATGTGAACTAACACATTGAAAATCAGCATTTTCTTTTAGTTACTTCTTTCAAAATTAGAAACATAAAAACTCATTATTTTTTCATTTACAAACTTTAACAGTTACACTTATGACTTAATACATCTTTGTCTTACCTTTTCTCCCCTAATTGCAAGATAAACATCAGATCCAAGAGCTTTTAAAATACCACATAATTCCACTGCAATATATCCAGCTCCAGAAACTAAAATTGACCTAACAATAAAATATGTAATTATTCCAAAATATAATTTTTTTTTATTTTTTATGCAGAGATATTCTAAATTTCAAAAAGATTTTTAAACTACTAAAATAAGTATAAATTCAAACTTGAGCTTTAGTTAATACTACAATGTGTATGAGTACAACTATCTGGGATTATGTGAGATTTCATTAGAAATTATTTTAAACCTAAATCATGATTTTCTATTATAAGCAAAACTGATTGTGTGTAATTCATAGGTTGAGTGATTTAAAAAGCATTAGTAAGAGCTATAAATACAAATCGCAATGTACGTAAATCAACACCAAGACACTGCAAATGATTTTTAAACTGCTTTAATAAATGAATTTCAAAATAGGATTTATATTATATTATAATAATGAAAATATGTTAGCTGTAAAATGATTTGTGAATGTTAAAAGTATTAATCATAATTCATAGTAAAATAAATTAGGAAATTGATTAATCACATAATTCTTATGAATGAATTTTTGCTACAGAGAGTCATAAAATTAAATGTTTCAAACAGTGTTGCCTTTTTTACCTCTAGACTTATATTATATCTATATAGATATATTATACTTTTCTTGTAATCTTGTAACAAAGGCAGTGTAGTAACAAGAAAGTTTTTGTAGATCGGGGCATGGCCTCTCAGTTGATCCCAATTATCCATATTATATGTATATAGTGATTTTTTTTATATATGTGGTATAAAACTGAAATTGATGAAGTAAAATATTTCAATGGTGATAATTGAATTTTTAGGGTTGGCCAGACTCACTCAATTCTCTACCTAGTTATGCCAATGGACTGATAATATATAAACAGAAGTTACAGTAATACCACATTATATGCAATAATAACTATAAATTTTAATAATTTTGCTGAATAATTTATGTTTATTATGTTTACTGATAAATTGTTAAATGTTACACTTATGAATTTTAAAAATTGCTAAGTTTTAATAGCACCTAAGTTTCAATATAACTTAATGATTTTTTTAAATGACACATAATTGCTTATAATATCTTAAAGAGCCATTTTAATGAAAATAAGATGAAGCATTGGAATAAATAGTTGATATACGTTTGGAAGTAACTGTGTATGATCACGATATAATTTTTCAAACTTGCATATGTTCATTTACTTCAGAGCATAAGTATAAGAAAGTACATTGTTAAATCTCTTTAAATTAATTTCAAACTTACTTAGGTAGACTCTCAAGTTCAAAAAATCCATCACTAGTAATTCCAAATTCGGCACCTAAAATCATTAGTATTTTGGATAAATCTGTTGTAAATTGATGTTTATTTAAAGAATATATTAACGATATTTTTACAAATAATAATAAAAAAAAGAAAGAAAACCTTAATACATAATTCATTTGAATTTCATCAGCTTATATTATTTATAAATAAACAATTTCTTCACAAACAATTTGCAAACAAAGCTGCAAATTACACAAAAAATTATTTTACAGTTATCAATAACACAAACATATTCTATATCAAAATCACATTGTTTATTATGTTAAAAATTTACATATTTGTATAAAAAAAAATAACTTTATTTGTTGGTTTCATTTGTAAACGAATAATTTTTTAAACTTCAAAATAAAAAGTTAACATGAATTAAGCTACAGCTTGTACACAATGTCATTTTACAGTTTTTAATTGTGTGACTCTTTAGTCATTTAATATGCCAGTTACAAATATATTTAAACAATTTAAATCAGCAGTTTTAAATAATATTTAGAAAATAAAAAAAAAGACAAAAATATACCTGATATTTTTGGAAACGATGGTTTACCGCCGGTTGCTATAACAATATGCTCAGCTGAGAATTGTTGACCATTGACATTAATAGTATTGCTTGAAACAAATTCTCCTTTGCCTTCAATAAAAATAATTCCACTCTATAAAAATAAAAAGAACTAAAACCCTGGGCAAGCAAACTTAATTTGTTAACAATAGATAAATTATGTGTCGTACCTTTTCTAAATTTGAGAAATAGATATCATTCAGCTTTTGTACATAAGCATCTCTTTTTGTTTTAAATTTTCTAAAGAAAGTTGAAATATTTGTAGTGCAATGAAACTTATTTATGGATGGTAGAACACTATTTATTGTTACGGAAATAAAAGAAGCATATACAAAAATTATTTATTTTCATTTTAGAAATGTAAAAGTTAAGAAATAATGAAGTAAAGAAATTAAGCAAAGAGGAAAATACAATAAAAAAAAAATCAATGAGGATTAATCTGAAGTAGATGTTTCTGTAAGATGAATTCCCTTTTATCTTCATTAAAGTTAATTTTATAATATTAAAGTAGCAAAATAATAATAATAAAAAAAAAAAATACACAGAAGGTATTTTGGCAAAATGGACAAGTATAGATAAGTTACATCTTATGAACTTTCTAAATTGGAGTAATAGATATTATTGAGTTTTTACACAAAAACAGATTGTCTAATATTTTAACCTTTTTTTAAAAGAAAATTCTGTTTAAATTTTTAAGCATTACAACTCTGAGTAAAAATGAAGGGAAATTTATTTTCTAAAGGTCAATTTTTCTGAAAAGTAAGTTGAAGAGAAACTGATCTTTGCTGTAAGAGAAAATATAAACTTAAATTTCATGTGAAAAAAAATTTGTTCTTATTTGCAATTATATTTAGATCTAAGACAAACAGTTATTCATCAAAGAAATTTCTTTAATTTAATTTCAAAATAAATTACACATGTAATTTTTTGGATGTGAATGAAAAAAAATCCTAGTTTTTTAGGTATTTTAGTACAAATATATTTCCGATAATCTAACAGATTTCTTTTAGTAACTATTAGACTGCTTCTCATAATTAAAAAATACCAAAAAATATTTTTGTTTGCAATCAGAATGTCAGAAAATGTGTATATATATATATATATAAAAAGCATACCAGTGTCAAATCTGCATCAAAGGGTTAAGTCAGGATGTCCGTTAAATCTCAGTCAGCCAAAATTATCAAAAATAAATGCTGTATGTAATGCACAAAAATAAACAAGAAACACTAAAAAAAAAAAATGGCTTACCATTTATTGGAGTAGAAAATATATTAACTTTGTTTACTTTTTGATATGAATGTATCTATTTGATGTATCTCATGGCACTAAATCTATGCCATGTATGATACATAGTATAAATATATTATTATGGCAATTTACGAAAAGACCGACAGAGGACTTCACATTATTACTTTAAGAATCCTTAGATAATTTCTTTTCAGTCAAACAGAAAGTTAAAATACTTTTTTGTGACAACTTCAATAACATTTTCCTTTTAAATTCAAATTATGATTGTGTCAATACATAGATTTAAGAATGTATAGGCTTTTTAACAGTCAGATAACCATTAATTAAACAGTTCCTCATTAAAACCTATAAAAATGAATTACATAAGAGGATTTTTAGTTTTGATAGATTATTAATTTGAAAATGTTTTTACATTTAAATAAATCCTTTTACACTCTGCAAGGGGAAGTCTGTTATTCTAGTACATTTGTTACATCAGTTGTAAGCAAAAATTTAATAGAAACAAAAAATCCTAAGTATTACAGATTTAAGCATAAAAATTAAACAAGGAAGTTTTCTTTTTAAATTGTTAATTAACTCTGGTTAAAATATAGAATTCTAAAAATATTCACCCAAAGTCTATAGATTTGACATCCACAGAGATACCATAGTCTGGCATAAACTTTAAGCTTTCTATCAGAGCAGCATAGTTGAAGCTCACTTTTTTTGGAACACATCCAACATTAACCTATTCACAAGATAAAAAAATATTAACCTTTTTAATAATAAAAAATATAATTTAATTACAAAAGCACAACATAAGTTAATTTCTTATAGTTTTTAATTATGTGGAAGAGTGCGGGAAGATGTTTGTTGGCTGACAGCTGGGATCGAATCATGAAATTTCTGGTCACCACCACAGAAAAAGTTGTACATTTTCCAACCAGGGTGGGAAAAGAAGCTTCATCTAGTTGACATCGCAAACCCCTTGCAATGTACAAGAAAGTTGGACAGGTCAACCACTAGCTTTTCCTCTACTTTAGGTTTGGGACAAGAAATTAAGCAGCATTCCAAGGCGGTTGGGGTCTTATCATTGGTTTATACCCAGGTTTGTTTGCTATGTCAAAGAAACTATATAACAAAGCAAACTAATGTACTGATGCTCTTCCTGGCAAGGAGTGAAAGAGTTGTGAGCCTGGGTCATTAATTTAAAGAAGTGCAGGAGAGACATTCATATGCTTCTTGCTCGAATCAAAGCATGGATCTTTGACTCTGTATCCAAATGCTCCTATCTTGTAAAACGTACACTCCATTCAGGGTAATCTGTGCAGGATGATAGGCTTGAATCAGTTAGAAAACCCTATATGATATGCCTTAATGTTAAAGTAACATAAATGTAAATATAATTGTGAAAAACAATGATATATATTTGTGACATTTTTTCAAGTCTTTTAAATTAAAAACAGTTCCTGCATTTGCTAGGTTTTAGTAATAACTGGGCAATGATAGGAGAGAAAAACAAAACAGAAAGAGGCTAATTGAAGGGTGTATAACATGCAGCACCTACCCAGGAAAACTTCTACAAATTTTTGTATTTAAACGTTTTGCATGTAAAAAAGATGAATATCCTTTACATATTTTCATCTTATTTGATTGTAGTTGGCGAGAGCAGGGAAAACTATAAAAGCATTCCAGATGGGGACCAAGTTGGGGTTATTTACATATATGGCATTATAACTACAATAGCTAAAACACCAAATAAATTTTAAAATTCCAATTAAAAAGAAAAAATAACATGCAGAGGTTTACCCGGGGGTGGTTATGAGTTATACTCTTCAAGTTGGTCCTTTTCTGTGCTGTTCTTTACAGTTTCTCGTAAACTGCAACTAGAAAGTTGTCAAGATGTGACGATTGCTCTGCGACAGATCACGATAAGGAAAACTTCGCGCCAATTGGAAGGGTATAACTCGAAGCTGGCAAACATCTACATGTTTTTTCTTTTCAAAATTTGCAAGTTTAAAATCCACTTGCCCTCTTAGATTGCAGTTAGAGAAACGGAAAACTCGAAACATACATGATAAGAAAATACTTCCGCTTAATTGCAGCTTTGTTAAAAAATATGAGTTATATTCGTTAACTAGGAGTGTATTATTTTAGCCTTTAAGATTTTCACTTAAAATCTTAATAAGATTTTGAAATGTAAGTCGGTGGAACATGATAATACATCTATTCACTTACACAAGTTCCACCGATCCGACCTTTTTCAATAAGTCCCACTTTCGCTCCAAGTTCTGCAGCTTTACGAGCACAAGCAATCCCTCCTGAGCCACCACCTAAAACCAACAGGTCAAATTTCGCGGGAGGCATAACTATCTTGCTTAACAATATTCTTGAAATTAACATCCAGATAACTGATTACTAGTTTAATACAACGAAAGTTCAAAAATGCAATCTACAATGAGTGAGGCAGTGAGAAAGTTTAATGTTCGAAACTATAATTGAATTTATTAAAATTAATAGAGGGGTTTAGATTATATGGGAAATTATATTTAAAACTAATTAGTTATATTCATATAAACAACAATTTCCAAAATATTTAAATGAGGCTGATTGTTCTTTTTATTCTAAAAACTTTTGTTATTTTCAGCAATAGACAGCAAGTCTTATCTAACAGCAATCAAGAACCGGAGAAAAAATGTAAATAAACAACACATGTGTTTACATCACAGTTAAAGTTATATAAATTATTTGCGCGATTATTTTTTTACAATGGAATAATCTTGAAAAGTAAAAATATTCAGGTGTTTTCCAGAGAATAAAAATTATAAGCTTCTATTTTAGCTTTGTAAGAAATCATTAAAAATTATATGACTTATTTTCCTTTTAAACTGTATGCTGTTGTTCTTCGTTCACTGCGGCCATGACACACTGCAGTCTTTAAAAACAAAACCATTCTAAAAATAAATAAATAGAAATTACCGTCATTTTAAAAAGTTGGTTCGTGCTAACTTAATTTTACAATGTGGTTATTTGATATTTTTTAATGTAGGTGAAATACCTTCTAAGTTACTGCTGCAGCATAAATTTATAAAATTACTGAGCTACTAAATTTATTATACTGTAAGAAAGTTTACCATGTATGTATACAATAAATTTGCATACTTTTCATTTGATTGTTTTATTAGACATGTTAATCCCTTACAAAGTTTTGGAATTTTGTATTGGTATAAATATTTAGAATTTCTTTCATTAGAAAGTAATTGGATTTTTTTATTTATTTAAAGGAATGGAAGGGAATTGAATTATTGAGTTTGATTTGGTTTGATGCACAAGTTGAATTTTTTTTCTATATGGAACAAATTAATTGTAATTTTCATATTTAAGAAATAAGTATTTATTGAGCTAAATATAGGCTATAAAGTGTAAGAAATTGAGAATTTATAGATTGTCTTTCTGCAATTTAATAAATAAGCTCTGTTGAAATGAAATTCAATTCATTTTTACTTCTTTATTATTTTTACCTGTTAACAATTGCATCTTGTTATTATGCATATAATTTTATAGTTTATAAGCTTTTATTTGAATCAAAGTTTAACAGTATAATTCAGTTCTATGAATTAACATTATTACATTATCTGGATTTGTGAATTATTTTTTGCAATAGTAATTATTTTGTAGTATGATATATATTTTTATGCTAAATAAAAATCAGGCTGATAATACCAAATCGGGACAGTTAGAATAATCAGTCAAATCAATTTGTCTTGGAACAAATTAAATCAGTTTAGTATGATTTACTTTATCTGGTAATTTACTATATTTTTTTAGATATTATATATAATGAAAATTTAATTACTTATTTTAAAATAGATTAAAGCTGGGATAAGTTATGCCTTGAAAAAATCAAAGTTCGGATAGTTGCTGGATATCTGGATTTGTGAATTATTTTGTGCAATAGTAATTATTTTGTGGTATGGTAAATATTTTTATGCTAAATAAAAATCAAGCTGATAATACCGAATCGGAACACTTGGAATAATCAGTCAAATCAATTTTGTCTTGGAAAAAATTTAATCAGTTTATTATGATTTACTTTATTTGGTAATTTATTATATTTTTTTTAGATAAATATATAAATGATAAATTAATTGTTTTATGTTTAAAATAGATTAAAACTGGGATAAATTATGCCTGGAAAAGTCAAAGTTCGGATAGTTGCGGGGAGAAATCTTCCTGTAATGGACAGAGCAAGCGACACCTGTGATGCATTTGTTGAAGTAAAACAGGCTTAATTTTTTTAAAATTTATCACTCAAAGTAATTTTGTTAGTATGATAATTTTTACTGTGGATTTTCTTATTCTAGATTAAGTTAAGCAATACAACCTACAAGACAGAAGTGTTTCGGCATTCTCTGAACCCAGAGTGGAATTCTGAATGGTTTCGATTTGAAGTAAATATTTTAAATTTTTGTAAATAAATCATAAATGAAAGATAAACATTTGTTTAATCGATTAAAAAGTAGCTATCATCAATCATATTTTGTTAGAAACTGAAAAATGTCCAGTATACTTCATTTAACTATCTAAACTGGCTTTAATCAATCCTAGTTGTTCAAAGTGAAGTTAGATATATTAATAAATCAATTAAGTAATATGTAGGCAACCTTTGCCAGTTATGGAGCCTATTATTCTCATATGATATAATGTGTTTATTACATTGATTTATGTTTAAGGTCATTGCGGAGATAATGATTAATAATGTGTATTGTAAATTTTGGGTTTAATTAAGATAGCTGGCTATGGGTGGGAGAAAAGAAGATTTTTTGGTTTTAATTAGCTAAGATTGTTAATATCCAACTTTAATAGGTTCTATCTTAAATTTTATCTTTAATTTTTGTTTTAGCTACAGTATGTACATTTTTTGATCTTTTTTTCAAAAACAGAGTAATGAAAAGTAAAATTTAAAAACATTGTGGATGAGTATAATTGGTGACAATGAAGTTAATTTTATTTGAAAATGAATAAGAACAATAGAAAATTCTTAATAAAACATCTTTCTCTCTGAAAAATAATTTTTTTTTTTTTTTTGAAAAAAAATTGTAAATTAATTTTGAAAATTGCATTTTGAAGTTTACAATTGACCTTAGCATGTAATTTAAATTTTAGAGAAATCCTATATATATATATAATATTAAATTCGTGAAAATTATTGTTTGAAACTCAGAATTATCTTAAGTATGTGATTTAAAAATGAAAATAGGAATGTAACCAGAAGTCACTTTTTAGTGATATTTTAGAAACACTCATTCTTAGGAAAGTATGTGTTTAAAACATGTAGACTAGAAATATATTCTTCTTGCTAAAATACACTACCTTAAAATAATGAAAGAAACACTTAAGTTTTTGGCTTTTTTTTCCATATTTCTCAAGAAATACTCAAAGAATTATTTTATAACTTAGGAGATCATGTGATTAATTAAAAAAATGTTAAAAACTGAAAGTTTTTCTTTATTGTAGAGTAGTGTATATGAAAACATGTAAATTAGTTGAAAGAACATTCTAAAATAAAATAAGGCCCGAACTTGTTAAAACCTCTAAGAGAGATGGTTTAAGAGAATGAGCATGTACTTTACTTAAGATAATGTAATAACAATATATATATAGTGTATTATTATTCTATTATATTTTAATGTTTTACTTTTTGTTTTAAATTTTTTAAATAATAAAATCAGCATAAATTTTTTTTATTTTTAAAATTTATCTTAACTTATTTATTTTTTCTCCTTAAAGTTACGTTTATTTATAATTCGTACTGTCGGAGATATTCTGAAAATTCTAAGTTTTATTTGTTTTTGTGGTTTATCTTAAATACATAAAAATTATATTATATATATTTTATTCAATAAGTTTTAAAAATTTGCTTTATAGGATGTTGAATTTTTTATTATTTTGCTCAGATAATAATAATAATAGTGGATTTCACAAATTACTTAGTTAAAGCGTTAGGTAAAAATTTTAATTCTTATTCAAAATTTTCTTCTTATTTATTTTGAGATAAAAAGAAAAATAAATACTTTTAATTGATTTCAACATTATAGTTTTCACGAAAGCATTTTATTTCATTAAAATATGTGTTTTGTTATAAATTTTGCATAGTTATGTTATATATAAACATACTAAATATTTTAAATACAATGTTTTTATTGTTTTTCAAAGTTAGTTGTTTTAGAACATAGCTAAGATTTTTCAAAGTTTTCTTGAGGAGATGTATGTAGAACTTTTTATTTCTATCTAATAACCCTTAAAGAAATTTTAAAAATATTTTAGCTAAAACCTTTGCTATACTTTTAATGTTTCACAATCTTCCTCAGAAATATTTCACCTGATAGTATGTAAGAGAATATATGTTAGTAGAAAATTTTTTGTTGTTGTAATGTTACTTTTTGAAACATTTTGACAACATTTAAATTATTTTGTTGTATTTAAATTTAAGTAGGAGGGCAGTGATTATTTTAAAGAATAAATCATAAATAATTTATGATTTTAGGTTGATGATGAAGAATTACAAGATGAGCCATTACAAATCAGGTTTGTATTTTCTGTAAATTTTTGTGTTTATATGTTTTTATAATGAAACCAATTTTTTTAATTGCATAATTTTTCATAATTGTTTCAACAAATCCAAAGTACGATGGGAATTATTCCTCGTAAATAATCATTTTCTATTTTGAAAGACCATAAAAATTCTACTTAATTGTAAAGGTGTACCTACATTTTAAATTTAGTTTATTTAGAAGTAGTTTATGAATATTGTTTACTATGTTTATCATTTTTATTCTACATAATCTATTTTTAAAAGGCCACTTAATATCTAACATTATAAATAAAATAAATTTTTTTTTTCATTTCCAGGGTTTTGATTTTTAAATTATTTATAAAGAATATTAAATCTTATGTTATGATTTACTTTTTTATGTAATAAATTCATTATTGAAATTTATATTGTTAAATTACATATTTACTTCCTTTAAGTTAAGCAATTTATTTTTCTTTTATTGCATAGTTTATATGTAAGACATCTGAAGAAAAGGCTTCCAAATTTTCAAAACAAAGCTTTTATTTGTGGAATTGTAAGCCAGTTACACATATTTTGTAGAGCCTACTGCAAAATCTTGGGAAAAATTAAAGACAATTATGTTCATAGTCCTAATGACCATAATCTCTTAATATAGATTTTTCTTTGTCTTAAATTGATTAACATTTTTTATATTAATGTAGGTGTTACTCTTTAGTTTTTTTCCTAATATTGTAAAGTTTTAAAGTGAACAAAATATTTTTTTATAGCTGTTTTTTATTTACTAATTTATGGTTATTAAAAATTTTGGATTACTAGCTATTGTATTTTAAATGATCCACTTAGTTTTTCAGACTAAAAGAAAAAAAATAGGCACAAATATTTTAAATAAAGATAAACATTCTGAATCTTGCTTAATTAGTAATTTCTTCCTATCGTTGGTAGATAGGTACATCCCTAGATAACTAATCATTTGACTTATAAACCATTAATGAAAATCTTATCTATTTTTATATTTCCTTTATTTGTGTCAAACAAATTAATGTAGCTTAAGAAAAAATATTGAAATTTACAGAACAAATTCAGATAAGTGATGAAATTTAATGTTATAAATTTTTAGAGACGTTAAAGTGTTTCAGAAACATTCTAACTCTATAAAATTGAGAGTTCATTTAATGAATGTTTAGTTATCCAGGGTTCCTAAATATTTTTAAATTAAACACTTAAATTAAAGAAAAATCATTAATATAAATATTTTATGTTATTATTGTATTAAGTCATATATTGCTGAATTCTTTTACATTTAATGTACTATTTAATTTCAGAGTGATGGACTATGATACCTACAGCGCAAACGATGCTATAGGGAAAGTATACATTGACTTAAACCCATTATTATGTAAGGAAGCTGGCTCTTTACTTTCTGGATGGTTTCCAATATACGATACCATGCATGGTAATATTTTTATTTTATTTAAACACTGTAGAGCCACAATTATTTATTTTTCAAGGGACCATTAATTTAAAAATAGATACAAAAAGACGACGAATGCTGTTCAGTGTAACATACCTAATAATGACTTAAAAATGTATGAAAAGTGATAAAAGAAGTAATGTATGAAAAGTGATATAAAAAGTAATAGACTTGAAAATTAAAGAATTACTATAGAAAAAATTTTAAGTGAAAAAATTATGTACTTAATGCATAAATATATACAATGCAAAAGAAAGATTAATTAAGAAATTTATTTATTTAAAATATTTATAAATTTTGGTCATAACACCAAATTTTTTCTTCTTCTGAATGCAAATAATACATTTTGGACACTTGTAGCATATTGCTGTTCATTTTCTGTATGTTTGCAGGAAAACAGAAAAGCTCCCCATAGTTTCAATGACTTTGAGGTTTTCCACAAAAATCGGCATTGTTCTCAGTTCTGTTTCGCCTTCATCTGTGTCATTTTGTACTTCCTCAGCTTTTGCAACTATTTCTTCAAACAAAGACTCCAAAGTTTTCAATACTTTAATCAATTTATACATTGATGCATAATAATGATGAGGTGTTATCCCCAAGAAAATGGGGATATGTTAACAAATCCTCATTTTCTACTTTGTCATTAGCATTGCAAATTTCTGGACTATAGACCTGAGAATCTGTTTATTTCAAAAATGATTTTACTGTTATTATTGATATTAGAAGAATAAAATTTGTTATGGAACTGATAACATGAGAAGACGCTAGCTTCATTTCATTTATTTCATATTGAATAATTTAATCTGTAACCAACCTGTTTAGAACATTTAGTTTTTTCATTGTGATGTTCTTTTTCGTAAAGTTTTTTATATCTTAGTGGACATCTCTCTTTAGAAGATGATTTTCTTAGTTTCTAGGTATCTCATAGAGGTATCTGTGTATTATAAAAATAAAATGTAAAATTCAAACCACAAATTCAAAATTGCTAAGCAATCAGAAAGGTACTGTGTTATTATGGTTTGTTGAAGAACAGGGTGCAAAAGACAAAATATTTTCTTGGTTTTATTTAAAATAAGTATATATTTCACCTTGTATAAATTAAAATTATTCAGAAATCTTATTTTGCAGTAAGAAGGAAAAATTATAATTGTTAAAGAAGGATTATTTTTTGTTAGGAATTCGTGGTGAAATTAATGTGATGGTTCGAGTGCACTTGTTTAGTGATTCTAACAAATATCGTGAATCATCATGTGGAGTCCAATTCTTTTACAGTGAGTATTTTTCACTTAATATAGCATGGCGTGAAAGGTGTAAAATTTTTTATTTATACACATATTAAAAGTAAAAATATATTGCTTTGTACAATCTTGCTCTAATGAAAATTATTCTAGATTCAAAGTCTGAGATTATCTGTTCCTTTGTAAACAAGAAAAAGCTTTATTGAAGGTTTAACATACATTAATTAATCATTCTGTAAATTTAGACACTAACATATATATATATATATACAGTGAAACCTGTGTATAACGATACTGTCTATAACGATACACCTGTCTATAGCGATATTTCCTTGAGGTCCCGGTGAAATTCCTATTTACTCAATATATTTTTAATCTGTTTATAGCGATAACCATTTTTCAGTTAAACATGTCTACAACGATAATTTTTCCTCTTTTGATAGTTGATAGTTCTATTCCGATTTTTCTACCGTTGGAAAACGACTCCCCATCAAGCCTGAATGTGAGATAACAAAATTATTATTTTTTTTTCATCTCCTTTGTATGTAATATTCTTTCGTTGTTTCTGAGAATGAAAAAAGCCACTTTTAGGGGAAATTAGAGCAGTAGAAATGGGTGAAGGGGTATTGTAGGGTGGATTACATCATTTCGAGAACGTCATGGTATTGTTTTTAAAACCATATCAGGTGAAGAAAAGTCAGCTCCAGTCAATGATGTTGCATCCTGGAAGCAACGAGAAAAAAGAGACAATTGAAAAAACTTATTCTCCAGAAAACGTGTACAATGCTGATGAAACTGGCTTATTTTATCAGCTCATGCCAGATAAAACAATGGCATTTAAGGGAGAAAATGGCAGGCTTAAATTCGATTGTCAGTGATTTCCAAAGATCATCTAATGCATCATTTCTATTTAACGCAGATGAATTTTTAAATTTAGATAATGATGTGTTGGTTTTCAGTGGTGCAAGTGATGAAGAGATTTTAGCAGAAGTTATCCCGGGTGATCAAAGTGATGAGGAAGAAGCAGCTGACTGTTCTCAAAACAGGACTCAAATTTCACCCGAGAATGCCATATTGCTAATTAACACTTGGCAAGATTTTGTGGCAACATTACCAAATGTAACTGATGTTCATTTGAATTCATTGGATGGACTGAAATCTATGTGAATAGAAATGGCAATTGCTTCCAAAAATAAGCAAACAAAACTAACCGATTATTTTTCTAAATAATTTCTGTTTTGATTCATAAAATTGCAAGTAAATTTTTCTTGTGTGCTGTTTCATAATTATAAGTAAAATTTTCATTTGGAGCCTATAAAAGAAGTTTAATTTATCATTAGTTTTAAATGTATACTTTTAAATTTCAAACCTGTCTATAACGATAACCTGCCTATAACAATATTTTATTTAGGTCCCTACAGTATCGTTATAGACAGGTTTTAATGTATATATATATATATAATGAAAAAAATGATACCAATATTTCAAAAACCTACTTAAATTTATTTGTAAAAATTTAAATATGACTGGTGTTATTAATAATTACTAATTCTGACATATTTTTATAAAAATTTTTATTGTGCCTATTTAGTTATAAAATGACAAAACATAACAGGATATATTTTTATCAAAACAGATCTGACAGCATACTTTGTCAAAAACTACTGAGCAGTAGTATGACTTTGTTTGATTTAGGTATTATCCTGATTTTTAAAAACGAAAAGAATTTGTCTTTCAGTTAAAAAATATTGTTTTCCAATTTGTATAGTTGTATATTAACTTTTGAAATAAAATTATAAAAGGACTCACGTTGAATTTCTTACGACTCTATTTCTGGTTTTGTAGAGTTTTAACTATAGTTTTTATTTTATTTTTTATTTAGGTGGTAGTATTCCTTGGGGTTTTAAAGCTCAAGCCATTCTTGGGTTCGTTGAAGAGTTAGTGGTGAATGATGATCCAGAATATCAGTGGATTGATAAAATTCGTACTCCTCGTGCTTCTAACGAAGCCAGGCAAACTCTATTTTCTAAGTTATCTGGTATGTATGTAATCATTACTAATTATCATTTACAATTAACTTTTAATAAATATTTCTTTATCATAGATATGATATATTATCATAATTTAAATACGTGTCTGCAGGTTGCAAACCCTTGATCTAGATTATCCGACGATTTTGGTTTTCTGACATCCATGCATGTCAGATAATCTCAATTCTTTTATATAGTATAAATTTTTCTTATTTATCTTTGATATTTTGCATGGAATTCTTTACTCACTAACTTTTACAGGTGAAGTTCAGAGAAAAATTGGGCTTAAAGCTTTGGAACTTGGAGGAAATGCTGTGATAGGGTAAATTATTTTCTTCATTTTTGAAAATGAACTCTTTTTATAAATGTATTTAATAAAAAATATATAAATAAATTTTTATTAATTGCATTATTCTTTATGATTAAGCATTGCATATCATATGGTACCTTTGGTTAGTCATTTAGCATGTTTCTTCTTTTTTAATGGCATGACAGCCGAGGGTGGGTCCTAGCCTTCTTAAGAATTTTTTTCTTGGCCATATTATTCACTTTCAGGATGGTGATATCTCTTTCTAGGCAGTCAACCCATCTGAGGTTTGATTGACTCCCAGTTTTTAGTTCAGTGGGTTTAGCTAATAATGTTTTTTTGTTGATTGTTCTTTGTTTACTCTAATAATGTATTCAGCCTATTTTATTCTTTGGATTCCAGGTTCTTTATAGGCACTGTATTGAAATCTTCCTCTCTATTGGTTATTTTTATATTGAACAAAAATATGAATGATTAGAGTTGGTATTGTTTGTTGAAGAAACATCTAATTTAAACATGATTTATTTTAGTTACCATCAGTGCTTTGATTTGGAAGGAGAGTCTGGAATTGTAGTTCGAGGCATCGGAACTGCTGTTATTTTGACACAGAATCTCTCTGCAGCTCAGTATGAAGTTTTTCGAGAGTAAGTTAAGACTTAAAGCTGCATTTTGTTGTTGTTTGCTTGTCGAGGCAAATTTATTGATTATACTTTCATTGATGATGTTGAATTTCATTGATGTATATCATTCATTGATTTTATTATGTTCTTTAGATCCAGGTTGCTTGGACTATCTTTTTTCAGGTTTCTGGTGTACGCTTTCTAATTTCATTTTAAGATATGCTGTTTCTTGTATGTAATTTTTTATTTTTATACCACAGTTATGATCTTTCAGTGGTCAGTACTAACACACTTCAAGTAAGGAAACTAATGTAGTTACTACTTTAGCTTGTAGTATAATCCCTTACCAAAAAAGTAAGGTGTTTTTTAAAATTGTTTTGAGGTTGTATAAAATATAAAAAAATACACCTGAGGTAGAAAATGAGATGAAATGAATGTTTTGCACCAAAAAATTAACTCATTAATTAACCTCAATTTCAACCTCATATACTCCTCATAAAATCATCCCTATATATAACTCAGCAATACCTTTAGTTAAGATTGGATGAAATTATTCCCAACTCAAACATAATTATTCGCTTGAAGTGTAGAATTAATAGCCTGTACACCTCAAAAATAACCCTTTAAGCTGCTGGTTGCTCTAAAGTAGATTTCCAACAACTTCAAAACAACCTCAAGTGTGAATAAAAACAACTTCATACACCTTGATTATACACCTTGAGAGGTTGATCTTTCTAGATTGTTTTTGAAGTTAACTTCAAAAAACCTTAAATCAACATTGACACCTCAAATTTTTATAAGGGAATGCACTTCTTGTTGAAATGGAAGTGTAGTGAGTAGTGCACTACAAGAAATTTTATTTTTTGAATATTCAATTTTTTTAAATAATTTTGTACAAAAGTGTAAATTGAATTCTCCAGGTAAATTAATCGACTAAAAATAGCTAAGCAGTGATTGCATTTAGTAAGTAGTTTACAATCACTAAATTTTACAAAACGAAAAAAAAATTTCAGTTAATTACATTTGTATTAAAGTAGTTGTAGTTTACTACAAAAAATGTAGTTCTTACAACTTTCGTTGTCATTGCATTTAATAATATGTTCATAAAAAATAGTTATCACTCAGTTTAAATAGCCTGTAGGTTGAACACACGATTTTTTTCCTTATTCTAATACACTACAATTTGAAAAAACAATGAATAAAATTTCTATGAATGTTCCAAGGGAAATATATTTTCCTTAAAACATTCATCAGACCTGTTAGTGTTTATATATTATTTCAATTGTTCATTAAAAAAAATCTTTCTACCTGTGACATCCTGGCAATCTTTTATAATTTGTCAACACTGTTAGTCTTAAACTTGCAAAAAATTTGACGCATTATTAAATAAACTTTTCAGTATTTAAAAATTATAAAAAATATCCTAATAGGAATATTTTTATACACAAATGAAGGATGTAAGTACGTGTATACTCTAAGCCAGTGGCCAGTCTAAGTAACCCTTATATCAAACTATTAGTAACCAAACATACATTTTGATCAAAATCATTTTAAAGGCAGTTTTAAGCCGAACATTTAAATCAAAATCACATAATATACAATTTAACTGTTAAAAGTATGCTCCTGCTTGATACCAGAAAGGAATTCTTTGTAGAGGATGTTAAATGCAGAATACAGTGTACTTTGCATGGCATTAGCTTAATCTTCCCTCAACTCAGGTGGCACCTCTGTGGATTGTGTATAAAACCATGTGGATTGTTCAAGAGCCTGTAGGGTGCTACCACCTTGTAGACAAACTAAGAACTACACGCATTACTTCACTTAAACAGTGTCAGAAGCACCTTTAATTATTTAGTTATTTTGGGTTCAACTAACCCTAACTTATAGTGCTGTTAAATTTTTAAATGGAAAGATTGAGTCTGCAAATATTAAAATCACTGTTTTAAGAAAATATCATTCAGTGGTTTTTAAAGCCTATAATACCCATCTATAGTTAAATGTGATATAAATATATATATATATATTTGCAATTCATAAATTCCTGTTTACTGAAAGAATTATCTTGCTTATAGTGTTAAGCTGTATTAAAATTGAAAACTCATTCCCAAAAGTTTTACAGTGCTATTAAATTATTTTTAATGAAATTAACTGAAATTATCATGTTCTAATATTACTTCAAAAAATTTCAAGTTATGACTCTTAAATAATATTTCATAGAATATCTATACTCTAAAATTAAGCTGAAAAATGGAATCTTGTTTGAATTCCTCTAAGTAATGTATAAATAACTTCTTTTCTAATATATACTAGAATATAGTTTCATTTCATTACTAATTTGGAATTATTTTTACCAAATGAGTATTTGCGATATACTTTCACCTGTTGTTTTTACTTTTTGGAAAAACTTATTTTCTTTGTTGTAAATGAGGAAGTTGTGTATAGAGGAAAAATTTTTGCTGAAATTTGCCCAAATGTAAAATGCTTGGTTGATCTAATTTATGACAAAGCTATGTATTATCGATTAATTATAAATTCAGTTAAAATCATTAAATAAATTAATTAAATAAATTAATTAAATAAATAATAAATTCAGTTAAAATCATTAAAAAAATTAATTAAATAAATAGTAAATTCAGTTTAAATCTGGTATATAACATATCATGTTCATAACTTTCTAATTTGTCTTTTAACTTACTTTTGATTAATATTTTTGTGTCAACAATTTTTTTTAAGTTTGATTTTCATTATTAATTTAAAATTTCTGAAACATCCCTGTGCGAAATTTTATTATTTTTGTATGATATTATAATATATATTTCATGAATTAATTTCATCCATGATAATTCATTTGTTTTTGAGTTAAAACTAAATTTATATGTATAAATAACTCTTGTTAATGTATGTGAGAATAAAGATCCATTTGGTTATAATTATGAATTATTTTAAATTTATAACTAATCTATTGCATCTTTAGATAAAGCATTAAAATATACTTCATTAATAATTTTCTAATTTATTTTTAACTTTTTGTCATAAAAAATATGTTTTTGGCTCTCGTTTTTTTTCTTTTTTAATTTTAGTGAATCCATTAATTTAAAATCTTTAAACCTATTTGTGATATGTTATTTTTAAGCATTATAAAACTTATCTGAGTTATTTTAGATATTATAAAACTTATTTTATGAATAACTTTTATCTGATGTAGATTATTTATTATATTAATAATTATTTATTATATAAGTTTAAGTTGCACATGAAGATAAAACATTAAAATATATTTCATTAATAACTTCATGATTCTTATTTTTTAACAACTTTTTAAATAACTACTTTTTACGTATTTTTAATCTATATAAATGTTTCTGGCTATAATTTTTTTCTGACTTTTAGTGATTTTTAGTTCTATTTTCATTTAACTAAACATCTCTAAAACTTCTATCTGTAATAAATCCTTTTTTAGTAGGCTATTATAAGATATATTTTACAAATGAACTTTATCTGATATAATTGGTTTATTGAGTTAAAAACACAAGTTACAAATATAGCCTTAGGTAAGTGAGTTTTAAAACATATTTGTTCCTGCCTGTATGGAATTTAATTTATTTTTTAGCGATTCCAGTCTTTTATATATTTCATTGATTATATAGATAGTTATGCATGATTTTTGGAATTACAAATCTGGAAATTATTTACTAACCAAAATGCATATGAATAATTCATACCAATTTTTAGGAGTGCATGAAGTTTTAATAACACAGTATTTTGACTCTTTATTATGATATAATTTATAAAATGTTTTTTACTTCTTGAATGTGTTAGGATGAAACATTTAAAAATATTTTTTCTTTTGTTAATTATATATTTCTTTTGCATATTGTAATGGTATTTGGTAATTTATTATGACTAAAATATTATATTTATTTGCTATTTAAGTGCTTTGTTAAACTACAGTGTAAATATAGTTAAGTGCAAAACTATTAAAAACATAAAAATATTATCTAATATTTTTACTTATTTTCAATAAGTTGACTTATTTTATAAATTAACTTATTTTATTTAATTTCCTACGACATTACTGTTACAGCACTTTATTTAAAACTCGTTAATTATGTATGGCTATTCATTAGAGTGATGATTTCAAATATGTGAGTTTGATGGTGTAATAAATGTTAAAAAATTAATGAAAAATAAATTTATAGAGTTTATTTAATAATTGATAGAAGTATTTAAATTTTTTTCTCTGTTATTTATGATTAGGCACACTTTTACTTATATTCAGGAGCATCAGAAAAAAAAATCTTAATTAGTTAAGCTTTAACTTGAAAAAGACTTGCTTCAAATTGCTTTCAGACATTTTATTAACCTATAAACTAACTCTTATGAAACTTTGCTGGTTAACTATTTCTGAAGTTTTGTCAATATATCAATTAGTGTAAAAGCAAGTGACATTTTAAATTAATTCATATTTCTGACTTAACAGACAGACAATAACTTTTGTACTTTTTTACTATAAATCAAAACTTCTGTGACATGTGCTATTTTCATTTAAATAAAAAAAATTGCATTTAAATAACTTCAATGCAACGACACAATTTTGTTAAAATTAATCGCAACAGTGCTATTAAATCAAATAAGTTGTATATACTGAATTAAGCAAATGCGAAATATAAACCTAGTTTTAACTGATATAAGTTAAGAATTAGAAGTCTTTTCCAGTTAAAGTCCAAAGCAAATAATTAGAATGCACGTTAATTGAGAGATTTTGCATATTTTTGTGTAAGTCGCTGCACCACCAAAGAGTAGAAAATAAAAGTGGTATTATGGTTAGTAAGAGACAAGTGCTATGCAAAATCTCTCTATCTCGGAAATGTCTATGAATTTTTTTAAAAAGGTAAAAAAAAGAAAAAAAAACAGTATTAAATCCTGTTATGGTACAAGTCTCTTAGGCATTATTTTGAGCAAGGAACATTTATGCTTTTTCTAATGATATTTTGCTTTATGAAGGTACGTAATGTAACTCCAGA